GATGTGATCCTAAGGTTACCAAAAAGGATCCCCTCAACACCTCGGCTGCTCCTAGAAATTCTGTCCAGAAAAGTTATGAACAGAATCGGTGACAAAGGACAACCTTGGTGGAGTCCAACGCTCACTGGAAACAAGTCTGACTTACTACCAGCAATGTGGACCAAGCTCTGGCACCGGTCCTACAGGGACCTAACAGCCCGTATCAATGGGCCTGGTACCCCATACTCCTGCAGTACCCCCCACAGGAGTCCCTGAGGGACACCTCTGCTTCCTCATGGGAAGACGTGTCAGTAGGATTGAGGAGGTCTTTGAACTATTCTGTCCACCAACCCACAATGCCAGGGTCAAGGTCAGCAGTGCACCATCCCCACCATGAACAGTGTGGGTGGTGAACCACTCCCCCCCCGAGACACTGGATGGTGGACCAGAATCACCTTGAAGCCGTACGGAAGTCTTTTTCCATGGTCTCTCTGAACTCCTCCCATACGTGAGTTTTTACCTCAGCGACCACATGAGCCTCAATCCACTTGGACTGCTGGTAACTATCAGCTGCTTCTATAGTCCCTCAGGCCACAAAGACCTGATAGAACTCCTCCTTCAGCCTGACAGCATTCCTCACCACCGGTGTCCACCAGCAGGTTCAAGGGTTGCTGCCACAACAGGCACCGACAACCTTACAGCCCCAGATCAGGTAAGCCGCCTCGACAATGGAGGTACAGAACATGGCCCACTGAGACTCGATGTCCCCCACCTCCTCTGGAACGTGTTCAAAGTTCTCCTGGAGGTGTGAGATGAAGCTCTGTCTGACAGAGTCCAGTCCTGTCACTCATGAGTCCACGCTGCTGTCTGCATCACACTGCAGGAGGTGACAGAGCACACTAACATGAGCTGCAAACTGAAGCTGGATCTTTCAGATTGTTTTCATGACAGGAGTTGAGACAGCCAATAGGATGAGAGCGTTTGTGCAGAATCAGTCAGTTTGTTGTGTTTGTTTGTGAAATCCTGCAGCTGAAGGTTGTTTGTCCCTCACACTGGACTGTTTTTCTGTCGCTGCCAAGAAGAGACGAGACAAAGAGGAGAAATGTGCTCTTCAGCAATCTGAATGGAAACAAAGGAGGAGGAGGAGAAACACGACAGTCAGGGGACAGACTCCACTCGAGCCGGCTCCATCTTCAGCCAGAACTGCACTTCAAAGCCTCCTTTCTTCCTGTGCATCATCAGAGCAGCAGCTGCAGCTCTGCAGACCAACAACAACAAGAAACACCAAGTGAAGCCAGCCGGCTGCACGTGAAACTGCACAACACAGAGCTCTGACTTATCTGACACCAAACATGTGTTTGTGTTGGAGCCAGTAGAGTTTCTCAGAACCAAGTGTTTGTGCAGCGAAACGAATGCAGATCAGCTGCAAACAGGCGGAGCTGGACTCTGCTCTGCAGGAGGAAAACTGCCTCTTTCTGATAACTTTAACTGATGCTGAGAAACAAACTGATGATGTCACTGATGACATCATCATAACCAAAATTATAAAATTTGAAATTGCTAAAAAACTATAAAAATTTAAGAAACCAAAAGTCATATCTGGGATGTCCTGAAGGAGCTGAACATTTAGATATATGAAAGGTTTCAGCAGCATAAAAACTGTGGAAGGAGAAGCTGTCTATATAACGTACAGAAGAAACTGGAATAATAAAGAATAAAGAGAAACATGAAAACATTGTGTTAATGCAGGAGACATTCACACAATAATCTGGTGAAGCAGAGGACAGACTCACACAAAAACTACACACATTTCAACACGGGTGTAAAAATACCCCCATCAGCTTCACACAAACAACACAACTTTTTATCATCAAACTTTTGTTTTGAAGGATTTCTTTCTTTAAAACGTTAAAGCAGCAACAACTAAAGCAGTTTATCCCCTGAAGCAGAAAGAGTTCAAGCTTTGCCTTCAGGTCCAGATGAGTCCTTCCTGTAAACTGACAGGGAGTTGGAGCGAGGTGGGAACACAGCAGCACCACAATGGCTCCAAACAGCATCTATTAAAGTGGTGGAAATGAAATTTGGAAAGGAAGAAAAGGAGGCAGAGATGGATGGAGGGGGTGTAAATCCTTCAAGTGGAGGAAAGCAGGAGAGAAAAGAGGTGTTTGAAGAGGAGGAGGGAGGAGGGAGGCAGGCTGGACTTTAATGCCACAACATGAAGAGATCAGCGCGCCGCTCGCTGCTTTCACAGACAGATGATCCTGTAAATCCTCCCTGGGCTGCAGGAGAATCATTACAGCAGGAGGGGGGCACCGCTCGGCCTCCTCTAACAAGCAGCACCATGACGGAGCTGCATGAAAGGAGGCCTCCAGAGGGAGAAAACACACAATCCTTCAGCAGCCGTCTGTTCACACACCAAACCCGTGGTTTTATCAGAACCACCTGAGACTGACCCGGTAAGAAGAACCAGAACAGCTCAGACCTGTAGTCTGATGTGTGATCTCTCTCTGAATATTTAGGTAGCTACCAAAATATTTAGGTCACAGGTTAAATATTTATCTTGTTAACTAAATATTTAATTTGTAAGTTAAATATTTAGTTTATAAACTATGACATTTATAAATGTATGAATCATATGGTGAAAAACTGACTTTGAAACATAAATCTGTTCTTTCTTTCTTATAAAAGCCTAAATAAAACAAAATATTGGTGATAATTTCTGGCTGTAACTTTACAAAGAGCAGCCCACAGGAAACCCTGAGCTGGGACTAAATCTAAATGTTTCAGTGTTTGTGTCTTCAGTCCTGTGAGGAGACCACCTGTCAGAGGGTCCGCTGGTTTAACTCAGCTTCTGAATGTTTGTGTGGGATCAGAGCTTCGTTTGTTTCCTTCCTGCAGAAACAGGCAGCCTTTTCCTCGGCTCCTGCTCTTTAAATCCTTCATGGAAAGAACGAGACCTTCAATGTAAATGAAGAAAATATTTTGTAAAGGTAGCGTGACGAAAAGCCTGTCAAGGTTCCTTTGCCTCAGTAAAAGCAGCAGCTTCCAGAGGAACACTGTCAGAATATAATACAAATATGAGACGAAGCCAAACTTCAGCTGCTCCAACATGTGCTGCTTCATCATTCCCTGCATCGATCGGAGCGCTCAGCCTCATCACAGTCCAGCTGCAGTGAGTCTGTCTGCAGGACACGCGCAGCGTCGATAAGCAACAATCTGCTTAAGGTGGAAGTCAATAATTCACATTATTAAAAGCCAACAAACATGGCTCCTTTAGCTGTACGTATTGATGCTTTTCACAATAAGACTAATGAAGATGTACGAGCCAGCTGACCTTCGGCTGCTGCTGACCAGAAACGGTCAGGAGTTTACACTTTTCTCTGAACGATGAAACATTTCCAGCTGTCAGCTCACTTCCTGCTGCTAATTAACCGAACATTTACCTCTGATGTTCTTCCTGCTGCAGCAGCTCCAACGCTGCTGTCAGACCAGCTGCTACACAACTGTGCAGTGGTGCCT